GTATTTGTGTTCAAAATGTAAGAAGTAGAAAGTACAGGTATTCGTGTTCAACATGTAAGAAGTAGAAAGTACAGGTATTTGTGTTCAAAATATAAGAAGTAGAAAGTACAGGTATTTGGGTTCAAAATGTAAGAAGTAGAAAGTACAGGTATTTGTGTTCAAAATGTAAGAAGTCAAAGTAAAAAGTCGTCAGAAAAATAAGTAGTGGAGTAAAGTACTGATACCAAATTTTTTTACTTGAGTGCAGTAAGGAAGTATTTGTACCCCACTACTTCCCACCTCTGAAAAAATAAAATAAGAATATGAATATGTAATAAAAACATGAATATAAAAGTATAACATATAATAATAAAAATGATATTTAGTGTTCTCGCTCAGAGCTAATACTGTCTTCTAACTAATGTTGACAAGGTGCAGAAACATTTGTATTTGTACATTTCATTGCTCTCATGTCATGAAACTATTTAAAAGTCTTAAATCTAACTTGCCTTGTGCTCTAATGGCGCGTTTCCACTACAGCGCGGAGCACGGTTTAAGAGGGCTGTGACGTCAGCGGCCCGTCTTTGGTTGCGTTTCCACTTGGCCTAGTACCGGCCGGCGGGTCCTAATTCACAGTTTTTCTGGCCTCATAAAATCGTGGGTCCAGGGCCAGAGACAACGAGGCTGAGTCGGGCTGAGTATGCTAAACTAGAGAGAGCATCGCTGGCAAGGGGGCTACAACTACAACAAGATGGACATATTTGACCGTGATTTAATTGTAATACACGTTTCAAAATGATGCCGAAGTAACAACATACTGATACCGGTTAGTAAAAACCATGAATTAATGCTTTGACAAGTTTGCAGACAGACGGCAGGCGAAAAACCTTTTAAAATGCTTGTTTTCTAGATAGAGATTGGCTAAGCTAACGCAGTATATGCTCCGACCGTCCACACTCACAACAACGGCCTATACAGACATAAATAAAGCAGCGACTGTATTCACCATGACACAGGCAGTCTGTGGTGTGTACTTGTTTAACTTTTGTCTAGTTTCTGAACATATATGAGGAGCTGTGAGCTCTGAGTGCTAACAGCTAACGGCTGTGTTGTTTTTCTGTGGTTCTCTGAAGATCACGTCACGGCTCCGCCTACACTGCGTTACTATAGATACTACCCCAGTTCCTAAACTGTAATGGAAATGCGCCATAAAGTGAGCCAGTCCTAACGAGGCCCAGCCATACCGAGCGGGGCCGAGCGAGGCCGTGTAGTGGAAACGCACCATATGGCAGCGGTTCCCAACCTTTTTCATCTCATGGCCCAGTTAAGAATCTAAATGTTTTTCGCGGCCCACATTCAACCAGAAACAATACGGAGGCTAAATAAAGGTCTCAGATTACTTTTTATTTCAATTAAAAAGGAGCTGGTCATCAGTAACAAACACGGTTTAGTTGAATACTCGATTCTGATTAAATTCAGAACATGTGACTCGTTGTTAATCCAGTAGTACAGACCGCTGTCAAAGACTGTAATGACCGTTACTAAGGAGGATCAAGAAAGAGAAAGGAATAGAGGTTAAAAAAAAAGAAATCGTAATAATGAAATGTTTCCACACAAATCATGATGTTTTGCAAATTATTTGGCGACCCACTTGCAATGCCTTTGCGGACCACTAGGGGGCCGCGGCCCACATGTTGGGAACCGCTGGAACCTGTACATGTCTAGACGTAAAACAATTTAAAATGAATTAAGTTTGAAGATGGTTAGGGATGTCGTTTCGGCTGCAAATCACCAAATATATGCTAAATATATTCCATTTGTTGTGTTGCACCTTCGGAAAATGACTCACTACGAATAAGACCAATGCTGTTATATTTATTAATAAAATAAGTATCCATAATATCTCTGACTAAAACAGGATCTTTTTTATGTTCTCTCCATTATTAAAATGTGAAGGGAAGTACAAGAGGAGATATTAAAGCACAACAGCAGCCGCTTCCCTGTTTATGCTCAACATTATTTTCCCCGATCCAATATTATTTTATTACATGAAACAATATGAATCTGGCCCCTTGGCTCTCAATAACCACAGCTTTATTATTTCCATTTATGTTGCATTTGTAAACAGTGTGCTCTCGCAGCAGCTTTACGATCCACAGGGTAATAATATCCAGGGGCGCCGTAAGGGGGTGAAAAGTTATGACGATTCTAAGGGCCCGTGACTGACAGGGGCCCAAACCATTTTAGAACATTAAGAAAAAAATGTTTAAGTAACCAATGTGATATCTTTTCATGGAACCCAAAATCCCTGGCGGCGCCCCTGATAATATCTGATACTACACTAGTTTATTTCTTCCAGCAAAACGATCAAATCTGAGAATATTTGCCATTCAAATACACAATGAATGCAATGCAGGTGCTGCCAATTACCTCAGTGATTGTCTTATTTGTTGAAAGCAATGATAATAATGTTTTATTCTTTTGGACCATAGATCAGAGACTTGGTGCCAAACACACACATTAATATTGTAACTTTAGTGATATTTCAAATCAATGCAACAATCAATGTGTAATTGCTTTGAAAACCTCACCAATGTTATTCTTTATTATTAATATTACATTCAGTCCAGGGATGTTAGATTATGATAAAACACTGCCCCCTGCTGGATGTATGGTGTAAACACAAGTAGAAACATTTTAGCCACTTTCTACTATTCACTCTGAAACATGTATTTGAAAGCAGTTTGCATCCTACTGTCTAGTGTTTCTCATTTCCAACTTACTGAATCATTAACCAGCCCAACATTCCCAATCAAACCCAGATGATTTTAGCCTCTTTACCTCTTTATAGAGGGGCTTATTTGTCGCTCTGCTGATGATGTCTTCTGATCATCTTTATCATGAAAACATTGTGTGAAAAACATATGAATCTGTGTTCTGATCGTCCAACTTGGCAGAATCAGAATCAGACAAATAATCAGAATCAGTTTTATTGCCAAGTACGTTCGCAAATACACAGGAAAGGAATCTGCTTCGGTGTTTATAGTGCAATTAATTCAAGATTCAAGGCTGTTATTGTCATTTGTACATTAGCTACAGTGTAGATATGTCAATGAACATCTGAGGTCACAGGCTCCTCCAACAGTGCAACACAATACAACAGATAATAGTGCAATTAAATACAAAGAAAATAGGATATAAATAGTGCAAGGAGAGTCTATATACAAGTAATTGGAATATGATATATTAGATAAATAATTTGTAAGTTGCAAACAGATGAATGTTATGGATGTTCTTTCAAAAGTTCAGGTGTTTTGATTAATATATAATTGACTGATTGTACAACTTGGCAGCGGACTCTTCATATGATTTGTGGTTTTAAAGAGCCTATTTAAATAAACTGAAGTGTCTCTGATTGTCTCTCTCTCTCAGGTCCAGATTGCTCTCTGTCCGTTCCCTCCACTGAGGCATTCTGGGTAATGCCCAGCGTCAAACCTTCAGCTCAGTCTTTGGGTCGAGCCTCTCATCAAGCTCTGGTTCACTCAGGACTGATGTGGGTGGTGGGAGGATACTCCTTCAACTACTCCAACTACCACATGGTGCTCAAGTAAGCTTTAAAGAGTCCTCTCCTGCTGATGTTCAGGTGTATATCAGTATGTAGTGTCTCTACTTTAAAGAGTCCTCTCCTGCTGATGTTCAGGTGTATATCAGCATGTAGAGTCTCTACTTTAAAGAGTCCTCTCCTGCTGATGTTCAGGTGTATATCAGTATGTAGTGTCTCTACTTTAAAGAGTCCTCTCCTGCTGATGTTCAGGTGTATATCAGCATGTAGAGTCTCTACTTTAAAGAGTCCTCTCCTGCTGATGTTCAGGTGTATATCAGCATGTAGAGTCTCTACTTTAAAGAGTCCTCTCCTGCTGATGTTCAGGTGTATATCAGTATGTAGTGTCTCTACTTTAAAGAGTCCTCTCCTGCTGATGTTCAGGTGTATATCAGTATGTAGTGTCTCTACTTTAAAGAGTCCTCTCCTGCTGATGTTCAGGTGTATATCAGTATGTCGTGTCTCTACTTTAAAGAGTCCTCTCCTGCTGATGTTCAGGTGTATATCAGTATGTAGTGTCTCTACTTTAAAGAGTCCTCTCCTGCTGATGTTCAGGTGTATATCAGTATGTAGTGTCTCTACTTTAAAGAGTCCTCTCCTGCTGATTTTCAGGTGTATATCAGTATGTAGTGTCTCTACTTTAAAGAGTCCTCTCCTGCTGATGTTCAGGTGTATATCAGTATGTCGTGTCTCTACTTTAAAGAGTCCTCTCCTGCTGATGTTCAGGTGTATATCAGTATGTAGTGTCTCTACTTTAAAGAGTCCTCTCCTGCTGATGTTCAGGTGTATATCAGTATGTCGTGTCTCTACTTTAAAGAGTCCTCTCCTGCTGATGTTCAGGTGTATATCAGTATGTAGTGTCTCTACTTTAAAGAGTCCTCTCCTGCTGATGTTCAGGTGTATATCAGTATGTAGTGTCTCTATGTCTTACAGTGTTTTTATTTTCTGTGTACAGTTATAATTTAGAGAGCAGTACGTGGGATGTGGTTCCCGTCAGCAGCGGTCCTCTCTACAGATACGGTCACTCTCTGGTTCTTCACCAGGTACACACACACACACACACACACAACACACACACACACACACACACACACACACACACACACACACACACACACACACACACACAGACACACAGACACACACACACACACACACACACACACACACACACACACACACACACACACACACACACACACACACACACACACACACACACACATGATGTAGCGTTAATGTCTCACTAGTGGGTTTTCAGTCTTCTTCAGTACAGCATGATGTTGATATTGTAAATTATAGTCTCTTTGAGAGTAAAATAGATGATAAAGCATTTTAGTAACCTAGCTCCACCCCTTTATACAGTAGAGGAGCACTTCATGTCACAGCTAGGGATGCAGCAAGCTTTCTGTGCCGTTCACATCAATGTCAGTCCTCAATCTCCTCATGTCATCGGTTTTAATTCGAAGAAAATCTAACCTCGAGAAGGGGTGGAGAGTTTCTGCAAATTATGCACAATTCATGTTGTTTTAAGTGTAACTTAGACGTTTTTTGGCACAAATAGGGACTATCCTCAAACCATCATTAAATTCAGATTCAATAAACTGCAGTAGATTAAGTTGTATGGGCTGAGATATGGCACAAAACACATGCAAAGATACCGTTATATTCTTCTGATACTTAAAGGTCCCATGTCATGGCCATTTCTACTGATCATAATTCCATTGTTGAGGTCTACTAGAATAGATTTATATTGTGCAATGTTCCAAACTCACATTGGTTTCTCATACAGCATCTCTGTATAGTATGTGTATTCACTCTCTGTCCTAAACGGCTTGTTGGAGCTCCTGCCCCCCCCCCCCCCTCCCTGTGAGCCCAGTGGCCGTCTGCGAGACACAGCGAAACCCAGCCCGAAATCAGCCCGAGCACACACACACACCCGCAGCGTCCCGCCGTCTCAGGCGGAGAAAAGTTTGAGTGTGTGTGTGTGAGGAAGTCTGTTACGTTACGTTACGTCACTATACCCAAAAAGAAAACAATGGAAAAAGAGAAATGTCCAACGAGGCGTTCTGGGGCAGCATAGACGGGTCTTTTCTGTGTTAGAGTTTTACTCGCTACAGGGTGTACTTTGAGGGTTTGTGACTCTGCAGACCGTTTACATGCAGAAGCTACAGAACACACAAGGGGACGGGTAATAACCAGAAAAGCATGACATGGGACCTTTAACATCTACTTTGTAAATGACCAAACCCCCTTTCGTTTCTTAGGATGACATCTACATGTTTGGCGGGAAGCTGGAGTCGAAGTCGGCGAACGTGACGGACGAGCTTTGGGTTTTTAACATCCCGAGGCGTACCTGGTCGCCACAGAAACCGGCCCCGCCCCCTCCCTTCGGGGTGGAAGGTCACAGCGCTCACCTGGTGGAGCTGAGAGACGGAGAACAGGTGATGCTCGTCTTCTTCGGATACTCGTCCGTCTACAGCTACGTCAACAAGGTGCAGGAGTACAACATCCGTAAGTGAAGCACCGACCAATCAGCTGTCAGGGATTTCTCTTTCTGGAGTGATTGATCCTAAACACTCAGTAATGAAGATAAAAAGTAATAAATACACTGTGGAAAATAATGAAGAAAGTAGCAGTATTTTAAACGTTTTGAAGAGAAGAGGAGCTGGTAGGAAATTGTAAATATATATTTTAAAAATAGCAAAATTATAAATTGCATATTAGTGTATTTTGCACACGAGCTGTGGTATTGCACAACATGTTTCATATTCCTTACATGGACGTAAAATAATATGTTATAATATTTAATTGTGAGATCAGGTTTGACTTTTCACATCAGCTCCATTTGCAACAACAACAAATATTAGAATACCAGGAATACATACTTTTAAGAAACTATTACAGCCATTTCCATTTAACAATGTGTTAGATTGTTTGTTTACCTGATTCAGCCACTAGAGGGCAGTGTCACACAGCCGTAAACCAAAAGCCACAATAAGAGTTTCTGCAGATGGTAAAACCACACACAGGAAAGGGACCATTACTTAAACATGTAATCCATTACAATGAGTAGTTTAAAATGTAATCTAATTTGAGTATCAAACGTCAGTGTTTTATGCAAGACAACAGAACAGTGTGACCTCAGACAAGAAGATATTTAGGCTCAAAACTGATTTTATTGATATGAAAACCTGCCTTTCATTGATCAGATTCAGCCTCTACAGCAACGCTGAAACACATGAGCACAGACCACAGTTTGAAGAAGCAGAGATTAAATCTGAGCTGAGAGGAAATGCTCCGTTTGAGTTTAATACACAGTGAAGCTCACACACACTGTTTGATGAACACACAGGTTCACCTGCTGAATTCAAACAGAATCTCTCCTACTTTCCCCTCATTCCTCCCTCCATCTTTCTCCTCCTCCTCCTCCTCCTCCTCCTCCTCCTCCTCCTCCTCCTCACATTGTCACAGCGTCTCCTCTTCCTCACATTGTCACAGCGTCTCCTCTTCCTCACATTGTCACAGCGTCTCCTCTTCCTCACATTGTCACAGCGTCTCCTCTGAGCTTCATTAGCGACTAAGTCAGTTCACGCTGAAAAGAGGAGAAGTGAAGTGGAGTGTGAATGATGAGTAAAAGGATGTAATGGCCGCTCTGAGAGGTTCACAGAACTGAGAGGAGAGAGAGCGGACCTTCTGTCTCTTTCATAGTTCACACTTTCTATCTGGTTCTCTGTTCCTGACCGTCTTCTTCCTTTTGTCATAATTACATGTGTTGTCTTTGCTCTGCTCATGCTGTGCCTCTCTGATGTCCCCGCTGCAAGGCCACTAAAGGACTTCTGATGTATTGCTTTTCTAATGATGAAACATGTGGCATTAGCTAACATCAACCGAGCAAAGACAATGGGTGCGTTTCACTTCGGTTAAATTGATTCCTTGCGTCCCTCACTTGCGTCGCTTCCCTGCGACTAGTCCCTCCCACCAGGGAACCATGGAGAGACGCAAGGACACCACGAGAAGCAGGGAAATGAGTTTTAAGAGCAATGGGACGTCGTTTCCTCCAGAGCGTCACGTGAAGCGACGTCCGTTTGTGATGACGCCGCACAGCTGATCGTCTGACAGCAGCCAGATCAGTGCATGCGCTGCATCGTCCAATCAGTGAGCGATACACAGTAAGGGGGCGGGGCGAGTGTATGAGGATTTCACCGGAGGATGGTCTGGTAGTTCTTCGATTATCTCTCCTCCGTCCTCACTCCTCGATCCTCGATCCTCGGTCCTCCGGCACAAATAAGGCCACTGGGACGCTACTCAAGATGGCGCAGACAAATCAACTTCCGGTGATACCGAGACCGAGGAGCGAGGAAATGAAAAATAACCGAAGTGAGACGCACCCATGGCCGTTATTATATATATCTTAGTTTTTCAATTGCCTATTCCTTTTTCTACAAATGTCCCTCTGTCTTCCCCACTTGCACTTTGCATTGAGGTATTTCTTGTCATGCAAACGGGTTCCTCCTCATTCTAAAGATCTGTTTCTGTAATCCCATCATCTATGCAGCAGAATTGATCAGCATGCATTCGGCTTCCTTAATAAAGTCTCATTTCCTCTGGACTCTCATTGCTGGGCTCCTCCTCTCATCTCAGATGTTTGGCAGGACACTGAAGTCTCTGCTGCCAAAGCATCGAGATGCTTTTCTGTTTCATTGATCAACTCTGATCTCTCTGCATGAGTGTGTTGCATTAATGGTTCTCTCTCTCTCTCTCTCTCTCTCTGTGTGTGTGTGTGTGTGTGTGTGTGTGTGTGTGTGTGTGTGGTGTGTGTGTGTGTGTGTGTGTGTGTGTGTGTGTGTGTGTGTGTGTGTGTGTGTGTGTGTGTGTGTGTGTGGGTGTGTGTGTGTGTGTGTGTGTGTGTGTGTGTGTGTGTGTGTGTGTGTGTGTGTGTGTGTGTGTGTGTGTGTGTGTGTGTGTGTGTGTGTGTGTGTGTGTGTGTGTGTGTGTGTGTGTGTGTGTGTGTGTGTGTGTGTGTGTCTCTCTCAGGGTCTAACTCGTGGCAGGTGCTTCCTGTAGAGGGCGCTGTGGTTCATGGGGGTACCGGCCACAGCAGTGTGTTGGACCCGGTCAGCGGCTGTGTGTTTCTGCACGGAGGGTTCAAGACTCTGAGCAACAACAAGTTCGGCCCGGTGGACCACATGTACCGGTACCACGTCCGCTCCAGAACCTGGTGAGGAGACATGTGTGTGTGTGGTTTAGTATTTAGTGCCATGCAAAGAAAGTAAAGAACACGTACCTCAAATTTAGACGACATACTACTTATACTTAACAATACTTTAGTAAATGTACTCAGTTTCTCTCCAGTGTTAAGTACTGTAACCTTAAAGAGGGGAAAGTAAGAGGAGGCGATCTGACAGGAGGTCTGACCCCAGGTGACCCCCGGCAGATGGAAGGGTGAAAGAGGACGCTGTATCATTCCTCCACGAACACACACACACACACACACACACACACACACACACACACACACACACACACACACACACACACACACACACACGACAGCTCTCACTTTCCAGATGGAATTTGCTGTCGGAGTCAGGTGTCGTTTGAGTTCGTGGACTTTTTCAGATTCCCAGACGAAAAAACATTTGTGGGTGTTCCAGATATTCTGTCCACCCCGACGATAAGAGCTCTCTGTCAGCAGGAAACTCAGAAAACAGTCCTTCACATGCCGCCTGTACTTTAAAAACTCCCAGATCAATCTTTACATCAAGGTTCACTCGACAATTTATTTCTCAAAATGAAAAATATAAATTAAAGCAGCAGGCAGTGATGGACGGGCCTTCGCAGATCCACCAACACTTGACCAAATCAAAATGTGAATATCCGACTTTCTGTTGGGTTTACGATATAACTCCAAGAGGCTTTTCTGTGCATCTCCTTACGCTACATATACCTACCACATATCAGTCCTGTAGGCAAAACCACAACGAGGGGCTGGGACCTTTTTGCCATCTTTTTCGCATGTCAATGTTTCTAAAAAAGGCGATTTAGTTAAAGGAATAACAACAACTTTAGGGATGTCGCTTTGCTCCGAGTCTGTTGTTACTCATGCAGCTACAAATGAGTCTACTAGTTGACTAATTGGTTAATAAAGAAAGGGTCATCTAATGGTTACAGTTTGAAGGTTATGTGACAGTTTTAGTATAAAGCTTTTGGAGGCTGCTTTTTAGTCAAATTGCACAATACAGAAAAAGGTATTCTTATAATATGTTGTCATTGTTTTATTGCATATTCAATGATCTTACTATTTCATGTTGGCATTCCTATCACTCCAGAGCCTCACTGGAAGCATCTAGCAATATATAAACAACGTGATGATACTTTGGAAAGGACAAAGGAATGAATTGAAGACCTTTTTCAGGATAACTTGATCAAAGAATAGATGTGCAATTGTCCGTGTTTTCTACCCGTGATATCGTTACTGCAGCATATTTATTTTTCCCAGTGTGTGTTCATCAGTGAGGGGCGCAGTGTGTGTCTTGCAGTAATTGAAGAAGCCACAGTTGGTCATCAATATTTGACCTCTGACCTCAACGTGGTCACACAGTGCAGACTGAGACCCCCTACTACGTCTGTGATGAGTGTTTCTCTCTCTGTGTGTGTGTGTGTGTGTGTCTCAGTGTGTGCGTGTGTGTGTGTCTCAGTGTGTGTGTGTGTGTGTGTGTGTGTGTGTGTGTGTGTGTGTAGGAACAGTTGGTATGAAGGGCAGTCACCACAGGTCGCAGACAGACGCCATCAATAACACGACTCCACGGACACACATACCTTACAAATGATCACGTTCTTAATCTGTCTTTCTGTGTGTGTGTGTGTGTGTGTGTGTGTGTGTGTGTGTGTGTGTGTGTGTGTGTGTGTGTGTGTGTGTGTGTGTGTGGTGTGTGTGTGTGTGTGTGTGTGTGTGTGTGTGTGTGTGTGTGTGTGTGTGTGTGTGTGTGTGTGTGTGTGTGTGTGTGTGCGTGTGTGCGTGCAGGGTGATCCTGGGGGAGAGCGGTGTGTCTCGGTACCTTCACTCCTCGGTTCTTCTGAGCGGCACCGTTCTGGTTTTCGGAGGAAACACTCACAACGACACCTCGCAGAGCAACGGAGCAAAGTGCTTCTCTGCAGACTTCCTGGCGTACGACATCGGTGAGGAGTCCTACACACACACACACACACACACACACACACACACACACACACACACACACACACACACACACACACACACACACACACACACACACACTCTCTCCTCCCTGTGTTCCTCTCCTGTGAAGAGTTGCTGTAATCCCTCTCACCCCCCCCCCCCCCCCCCCCCCCCCCAACATGCCATCTGCTCTATGGTGCCACTGGGTCCTTTAATGGGATCCTAAATCATCCGTACTACCTGTATCCCGCAGTCTGTGCATCCTCACACACTCCCGTTTCCCCTCACACACTCACACACTCTCCTTTCTTATGTTGTTGTTGTTGAACTTCATACAGTTTGCACCATGAATAATATTTCATAAAAAGCTGCTGCTGCACAATCCTGATTCCAAGTGGTGTAAAGTAACTAAGTATATTTACTAAATACTGTACAATTCTGAGATACTTTCCTTGAGAAGCAATGTTTAGCCTTTCTTTTGCAGCCTTACCAGTCATTGGGCTACTCAAACATGTCAAAGGGACATCAAGATCATCGAGAATTGTCCCCAGGATTTATAAAACTAGAAAATATCTGGCAAGAAGATGTCCGGTTATATTGCTATGGAGCAAGGTTTATACAGGAAGACATATTGCCCTACTATTGTGGAATACAATTCAATAAAACAAATACTTTTTTAAGGTAAGCAAAGTCTAGTACTTTTCAAACCTTCCCACCATCAGGGTTAGGGTAACACTTTGTCGTGCACATGTGTGTCTGGCATATTTACAGATGTGGGAAATAACTAAATATATTTACTGAAGTACTTGCTTACTTTCTACGTCTACTCCACTCCAGTTCAGAGGTACATGGTGTACTTTTACTCCACTACATGTATTTAATACCTTTAGTTACTTTACAGATGTGGATGAATGGTGTGAAATATAATCAAGTGTTAAATCAGACTTTAGTTCCACCTGGAGTAAATCCACAAGCTACCCTGCAGTATACAAAGTCATTCAAACTAGCTGCACCTTTACCAGCTTTGAGAACACTTTCATGATCAATCATTATAAAACATATCATATATATTATTCTGAAATGGACCAATCTGCACAATGACTACTTTTACTGTCGCTACTTTCACTATATTTTGATGAGAATACTTTTCTACTTTTACTTGAGGAACATTTTGAATGCAGGACTTTTACTGTAACAGAGTATTCCTACACTCTGGTACTTCTACTTTTACTCAAGTACAAGACCTGAGTACTTCTACTTTTACTAAAGTACAAGATCTGAGTACTTCTACTTTTACTCAAGTACAAGATCTGAGTACTTCTACTTTTACTCAAGTACAAGATCTGAGTACTTCTACTTTTACTCAAGTACAAGATCTGCGTACTTCTACTTTTACTCAAGTACAAGATCTGAGTACTTCTACTTTTACTCAAGTACAACATCTGAGTACTTCTACTTTTACTCAAGTACAAGATCTGAGTACTTCTACTTTTACTCAAGTACAAGATCTGAGTACTTCTACTTTACTCAAGTACAACATCTGAGTACTTCTACTTTTACTCAAGTACAAGATCTGAGTACTTCTACTTTTACTCAAGTACAACATCTGAGTACTTCTACTTTCACTCAAGTACAAGATCTGAGTACTTCTACTTTTACTCAAGTACAAAGTCTGAGTACTTCTACTTTTACTCAAGATCTGAATACATCTACTTTTACTCAAGTACAAGATCTGAGTACATTTTGTATAAACAAATCTACTGAACGTATAAACATACAAATAAAATCTCGACTCACTAGTTTTTTCAGGAACTTTCCTTCTTTAAGAAATTCCATATATATTTTATTTGTCTGTATTATCATGATACTGCCCTCTCTTTATTTATTTGACTCTCCTTGTCACTCCCTGCTGTACATTTCATTATAAAGGGGGGGGGGGGGGGAGATAGTGCTGGGATGAAGCCGTGAATGTGAGGAAGCAATAAGAAGAGATGAGAGAGGGAGACTCGCAGCGAGAGAGAAATAAAGAGGGAATGAAGGAGGGATTTAGGGAATGCTGGGATGAAGCCAGGCGGTAAGCTGCTGAATAAAAGGTGAAATCAGAGGTAATACAAAATAAAGCATGTGTTTACAGAGACCCCCGTCTATTTACACCTCCCTCAACTCTGCTTTAGAAATACCATTCATTACTGCTCGTATCTTCAGTTCAGTCAGACAACTCACGTGTTTCTTAATATGTTTATTAGAAGCAGCATATAGTTTGAGTTTGGCGTCTAGGCTCGGGCCTCATCACTCCACAGATTTACAAAGAACATTGAGTGATGATTAGATAACTATCCCCCGAGCCTACAGGTGGAAGCTGGGGTGGAAGCTGGGGTGGAAGCTGGGGTGGAAGCTGGGGTGGAAGCTGAGGTGGTGGGGGGGGCAGGCGAGCAGCAGCAACATGAAACACAGCAGCAGCAACATGAACGTAGCAGTAGCAAGTGAACACAGCAGTGGCAGCAGCAGCATGAGCGAGGCAGAGGCAGGAAGACCTGGCAGCTTAAATAGAGCAGCATGTTTAGGAGAATGTGTTTGGTTGGTTGTAAGAGGGACGAGGTGCGTCACGCGTTAAGGCCGCTACACACCCACCTGAGACCAAAGAACGCGTACCGAAGGCGTCCCGACTTTTACGTCAGCTAGGTCGCCTGCGTCTGCTACGCCGCCCGCCTACGAACACACCGCAAATACTTCAGTCGACGAGTGGCAATAACTGTCCTTACCAGCAGGCAGCGGTAGTGTGAACAGCCAATCAGAGTGATTGCTTGGGCCGACTTTCTCTGACCTCCCGCGGCCGATTCAACATGTTGAGGCATCGGGAGGTGTGAAAAGGTGCCGTAAAGAGACGACGGTGCGGGACACCAACCTGAGTAGGGCGCCGCGAATGCCCGACTGCCTCTGACGGCCTCTGACTCCCAAAATCGGGTTGGTGTGTAGCCACCTTTAATGTATCATTGGTGCTCGAGTTGACTGCCTGAACTAGCTCGCAGGCTTCGCCCCAGATCTGCACGGCGTTATCGTCCAGTAGAAACGTCTCTTCTTGGAGGGAGGAGAGAGTTAGTCAATAAACACAAATAGGAAAGGAGATAAGGAGAGGAAGCATGAGTAGAAACAAGGAGCTTGTTACAGTACAGAGAGGGATGGTGTGTTCATGACATTTAGGGCAAAACTAAGAGGTAACTTGTTGACATTTGACATTTTCTAAGCACTCTGCAACGTCAAGATCTCAATCAAAATCTGGTGTCAGACAGAAGTGGATGCAACGCATGAGATAAATCTGATTATTAGCCTTTTTTGTACTATTTTCTGAACGCATATTGACTTCATTTCATGAATACAGACTAACAGGTAGAGAGACATGGCTCCTGATGGGACTATCTGGGATGTTTGCACGACTCAAAGTGAAAATGTGCACGATTAGCGGTCTATGGGCGATCGCTGTAACACACTTTTTGGGGTTTTCCCTCTCCTGTATTGTGTGTTTTATAGGTGTTAGTGCATGTAAATGGTCTGCAGAGGTTACAATCCCTGTGTTTCTGAAACGCCTCCGTTAGACTCCTTTGTTTATTTCAGAACACAGTGACATCCCCATTTAACGCACGTGCTTCTATTGGCTAGCGCTCCAACACATTGTAGGCTAAGGGGCGGGACATCTCTAAGCGGTTGACCAATCACAACAGAGCCGACCAGCTAACCAATCAGAGCAGACTGGGCTCTGGTTTCAGACAGAGGGTGAAAAGAGGTGCTGCAGCACAGGCAGTATGAGAAAAACAAAGAGCTTTTTGAACATTATAGCAGAGGATGGTGACCCACAATTAAACTCCACTCTTAATTCTATCCAGAGAACTCATTATCACAACGTTTTGACGATAATTCATGGTGATGTGAAGAAGATAGGGACGATAGTCTGTGAGATGACTTCATAAAAGCCTCCATATCACCATAAAGCTCCTTCTCTGTAGTCACACTGAAGCCATCAGCTCCGTGTGTCTCACTGTTCAGACTTTACGAGGTTTTAATGCACCCTACGTGCTCTTATTATATCCATATATACGTGTGTGTGTGTGTGTGTGTGTGTGTGTGTGTGTGTGTGTGTGTGTGTGTGTGTGTGTGTGTGTGTGTGTGTGTGTGTGTGTGTGTGTGTGTGTGTGTGTGTGTGTGTGTGTGTGTGTGTGTGTGTGTGTGTGTGTGTGTGTGT